GTGTGTGTGTGTGTGTGTGTGTGTGTGTGTGTGTGTGTGTGTGTGTGCAGGTACATGCGTGTGCGTGTGTATATGTGTGTGTATGTGTGTGTTTACAGGACACTATCCCTCAGCTTACAATGGAGTAGCCTTAGAATCCTACAACCCTCATTGGCCCACTTACTCCACAAAAAAATTACTCTATCCACCTTCTCTGGGCCTGCCTTCAGTCAGCAGTTTGAGGGGGAAGCTCTCGCCATGACAGATAAGTCTTCTTTCAAAATAAATAAAGCCCTAGTCATCATTTTGGAGTATTTTGTTTTGTTATGGTTTTTTCCCCTCTTTTTTTTTAAGGGAGGGGTAACAGTACATTGGTCTCTACGCGGCACAAAACGCATTTGATAGCCCACATCTTTTTATTGCCCTTGTCTGCCACTCAGATTTGGGATATAATCACATCAGCCTGCCTTTCTGAGAATTCGTAGCTGTGTTTTTAATCTAATTCAGGGGCCTGGAGATAAATCATCCTGAAGGGTCCCGATTTTCCGAGCCAAGAGCCTGAAGCAGCAGCAGCAACAGCAATGGCATGCTAAGTTAAAGGGCCAGCAAGAAAGGAGGGGGTGCTTTAGATGCAGTGATGAAGACCACACGCCTCTATTGTTTGTCTTTGTGCCAGCCTGAAGGGCCGAAGGGATGAAAGACAGAGCCAGCTCCCTTGAGGTAAGTCAATCAGAGTACAGGAAGCAGAGGACAGGGGCGAAGAGGCAGCCTTGCTGTTAAGGCACTGTTTACAGCTCACTGCTACACAGGACTCACCCGATGTGCACCCCTCAGCACAGCCCAGTAGCCTTGGGCTGTTTGCATGAGCACCATACAAGAGGAGGCACAGGGTCTGATGAGTCTGAAGGGTCAGCCTTCCAAGGGCTTGATGGAAGGAGGCAACTATGCAGAGGCAAACCCCCAAAACAAACCCAGCGGCCCACTGTCCTCCACAGTGGCCCATGCAGCAATTCCTAGCCACTGGGACTTGGCAGTCAGCAGCCTCCAAGACCTAGACTTTGGTCGAAGCCCTCAACTCTTGTTTTCACTTCTCTCTTGGATGAAGCAGAAGATGCCTACAGCTGGGGTGTCTAGGCCTCCTTTCAGCTGTACCTGCAGGCAGGACAGCAAGAGCCAGGGCCTCCACGTGCCTATTAAGCCTTCAATTCATTAAAACTACGAAAAAAGAAATTCATGTCTTCAGTCACACCAGCCACAGGTCAAGTGTTCAGGGGCCACAGATGCCTAGCAGACAGCTGTGGATCAGCACTGCAGAATTGCCTATCCAGTAATATTCCATTGGAAGG